GAGTAGGCTAGAAAATACGCGAGGAAGAGAAACGGGAACGAATAGCGACGAATTTCGAACTACGTGATAGAAAATATCGTATACTATTTTTGAGAAATTAATTTTTATATTTCTATAGAGATAATTAATTTTCCGCGAAAGGAATATTAATCCGTTAAAGCGTCAACAACTGCATGACAGCTTGACCTGTTTCGTCTCCAGGAATAGACGTAAGCTAGGGTCCTTTAGGGTCAAGGAACTGGTCGCCAGGTAAACGTTAATTGATTCATATTGTTTGAATAATAGATTCTGATTATCGATGACTGTCACACGGTGTAGCTAGAGCTAGGAACACATGACCAACCTACCCCAGTAGGGGGCTGTACAAAGCATTCCTGTTTATGATTTTCTGATTGGATAGTTCCTGCTCACATTGTCTAAACATTCAGACGGGACGTCACGTTGCTCCAATATTCTGTGTGTAAGGTCATTATTCAAGATCGGACCTGTTATTACAGACACAATGCAGAATCACAGGGGGTATTACAGTTTGGACAAGTTGGAATCTCAGACTCCGAGGATCGAAGACACATAGCAAAATTATAATCGCGACAAAGACAGAAAAATTTGCATTTCTCCAACGACAGTGATTTTAACAATACCAAATCACGAACTCCTGATTTGAACTCTGCGGATGACCAAAAGCCTGTCAATAGTAATACCTCGAACCTACAATGTTTGTCTTGTATACTTTAATCATCATCCGTGTTGGGGAACAATAATTTAACCTTATTCGCTGTAGAATCGGCATGACGAATCGCGTGAAAGCCTCGACAGGAAGGTTCGTGCGTCTGTGCCGAAAGTTTCGGTCAGATTGCGTCGCGCGATGCAGCAGACATGCGAACGAAACCCGATTAGTCAGCCATGAGTGATATCGCCACGGAGAGAAGTCGGTCTGACATGTCAGTCAGCCCCGTGATCGATTCCCCGTTCATTTTTTCACCCGTCCACACGCATCTTTCGTCGCTGTCCCGTTCGTTTGATGTATCGACCGACCATTCGCGACTTTTTTCCCGCGAAACCGGCAAGGAACTCGACAGGACGATGAAGATAACGTTCGATCGGCGCGAAAGTGCGAATAAATCGTTCGTTATGAGTATCGGATGCTCCTTCTCGATTTATCGGAACGCGACTCACGAGGATGATGAATGGATGAATTTTTAATAGCGATCGATGCCGAGAGGCTCGATCATTTGCATGAGAAGAAGAATCATTTACCTCGAAACGTCGAATTTCGTGTCTCGCAACGGTTTCCCGTAAATTCGCGAAATTTGTGTTAATACCGAGTATGAGGAAGGTGTAAAATCTAGAAGCAGATCTATTATGGGACAATTGAAGAAGATGGATCCACTTGCGTTTGCTCCTTACAAATTTTTCTGATAACGTGCAGCCGTATAATAGGTGCGAAATTTATACGATACCGAATCTAATAAATCTTGTTTCCTGTTTGTTTTGTCCGCTGATAAAGGACCTAATAGAGATTGGTCGATAAAAATACATG